GCTGAACCTGTCGTGCTAGCTAGGCTGAAGAGCTTTCTATCTGTCAAATGCCCATTTCCCGTGTACGTATCTGTACACTGTAATTTAGATCACCCTTTACTTTGTTACGCTAAAGAAACCAATTTAAGTCTTACACTTTATGGCATATTTCCAAATTTTATTATGAGTTTTATCTTCTCACCCGCTCTGATTTATCAAAATCTTCCCTTTATTGTGATAGTAACATAACCTTGTCATTGCTCTTCCCACATATATAAGTAAGGGTCACATTACCCCTTTTGGCCTCAGCGTAGTTGCAGAAGTTCAGATTTAGCCAAGTATTCATCACGATCCTCAATCCTCTCAGAATTCCTGCTTCCTACAACAGAATCCCATCCCATAAGTATAGCCCGCACTCTTTGTCCTGGGACACATGACTTCACATTTGGTCACATTAAAACGCAAAAAGTTTGCTTATACCCAGTTTCCCAAACAATCAAGATCATTCCGTCTTCTTCATTACTTACCACCTCTGCAATATTTACATCATCTGTAACCTTCATAAGCACTTCTGATAGAGCTTATTATTCCTTTAGGGGCTGGGCTATATAAACAGGCAGAGAAAGCCAAACAAAGAGAAAGGGACTACAAACAGTGTAGACTATGGTGAGATGCAGTCTTCTCAGTGCCCAGAAAACTAGCCTGACTAGACCCAGATATTTTTTTTTTTTTAAGATTTTAATAATGGGAGCTCTGAATTGCACTCCAGAGGCAAGTGTTTTTCAGACTGCTCCTTCCAAGAGACCTTACGAATAGGAGCTTGTCTCACTAGTTTTGGTTCGGATCCCCCCTGGCTTGGATCCTTCATAGCATTCCTTTTGTTTTCTTCCAAGTCATAGGCAAAAGTGTTATATGGTACGCTGCCAACACCATATTCCTGGGAGACCTCACTAAAAAACACAGCTTCTTGAAGAGCATTTCCTGTTTACAGTTATATTTTGAGACCTACTGGTTGATGCCAAATACATGAATTTCCCTTGCTGTGGAAATAGACATTATAAAACAGATGAACACACACACAGAATCTCCAAGTCCTCTATTTCCAGAGCACATTTCACATGATGAAGGGAGAGAGAAGTTCCTAGCACTCTGCACTATGATTAGCTGAACATATCTCTCCCTAAAGGATAAACAATAGCTGTGTTTAATAGCTGAAAAAGGAATGCTACTAACTGGCTTATAGTACACCATCTCCACACTTTAACCTTCTTGAAACCCTCATAAAACATTTTCTTTTAAAGCTGTCCAGCAGCTAATTTCTGAGGGGGAAAAAGGCATAGGGCCCACACCATTTTACTAAAATTATGGTAATTTTAAAAGTCAGCTACACATGGTCTGAATTTCATTAATGTAATAACAGACCAGTGCTTTGTGAAACCAGAAGTATAAACCAGAGTGGTATGAATCAGCTGTAAAACCAGAGTTGTATGGATCACAAACTGTATCAGAAGAAGGTCTGGACTGCGAGAAAGAGCCAAGGAAGAAATGGTGACCTTGGACTACAGGCTCAGCTGCAGCCACCGTGTGCACAGGGAAGGTCAGAAAGGGTTTGGGTATTATTATTATTATAATAATAATAATAATAATAATAATAATAATAATAATAATAATAATAATAATAATAATAATAAATGGTTACTTCACTAATCCCCTAGTCCTAGGCTGACTCCCTGTCTCTCAGAATTTCCCAATTTAAGACAGTCGAGCCTTCTAGTTTCTCTAAATTATACTGGCTGCCAGCTGCCTAATAGACTAAAACTTTCTTGACACCAGTGAGCGTTAATTCCGGGAACCTGGGACACATCTCCTAGGCCAATCGCAAAGTATGCACGTATACAAACTGCCAGGCCAGACATGTTGCAAGTCTTCATTTATTAAGGCTTGGAAGCTACTTTAAGAGCTGTCAATCAAGGCTACTACATATCTCCAAATACTGCCTTCAAGTATGCTCATGCCCTTTAATTTCTGAAGACACTGGAGTTGCAGGGGTGTATATGAAGACAGAATATAGATCGCTAGATGCAGAGTCTTGATTACAGAGTGCAATTTCTAGGAGACACTGAATTCATAATTATGAAAAACTTATACAAATGATTTTGTTTGCAACTTTTTCCACTTTTTTTCCAACTTACACTTGGAGAATAAATTTCAAATCAGCTGAGGTACTGCAGTTTTTAGAAAAAGAAGTATGAGTTAAAGTGAAATGGACTGTGTATCCCACAGAGTACATTTAACATGATGAACAGCCAGCACACTGATGCATATTCAAAGTTACTGAAATAATGAGTTAACCATACCAGGCGATTATTCTAAATGCAGTTTTTAACCAAATTGGGCAGAGGACTATGGATTCATAGAGTTAACAGACAAAGGGGTGGGAGGAACAAATAAGCATTGCCACAAGAACTCTTAAGTACAGCCCCAGACTTTTATCAGTTTGGTGTGAAGAAGACCAAAGCACTGAGTCTCACATCCATGGGGGCTGAAAGGGAAACATTTACTGTATATTCCAGTGTTACAAGTTCAATATCAAGGCACAGATGTCCTTCTCAGCTTCGACAAAGATTTTCTGTACTGCTGAAAAGTGCCTTTGAACAAGACAAGGATGAAGATGCAATGTAGATTGTCTGTGCAGCACGTACAGTCAGTTGAGATTGGTTTCTAAAGTACATTATGCTTGAAGGTAACTTTGAAAGAATGCCAAAAGAATTCAATCCCAGCTATGTCTGTAAATTTCACCTTTCTGATTCGAGAAGGCCCCAAACCCTGAAGATAAATTTATGCCAGCTAGAGAGCTAAAAAAACCTGTGCATTTCACCTACAGTAACAGCGAACATGCTAATGCCAGTGCTCAAACTACAGTCAAGACACGAGAACATTACTGAAGAACTCGATAACTAAAACACATTAGTGTTACATAAAGCTAATCAGACAGCTAACACTTCTGCTGACTGTTGTCCCTTGCAACTTTGGGGATATTCAGAAATCCTAAGTAGATGTCAAGCTTGCCTTCTGGAAGGACATTTTATTACAGCAAAAAGAAAAGAAATTTGGAGAAAGTAAAACATGAGCAGTAAAACAGTAGGTGATCTGCAATGTATTAATTATGGAATAAAGCACTAAGAGCAGTGGAATCGGGTCTCACGTTTAGTGGGTTTTTTGTTTTGTTTTGCTTTCATTTACAAGAGGGTAAGAATTACAAACAACCAGTAGGAAAGCTAGAAGCTTGGATCTAGGTAAGAGAGAGGCAAAAATACTGAAGTGACAATACATATGATAATACATTAATGCAATATTATCATTTAGAAGAGGATATAGCTCCTTAACATAAAGCTCTTTCTGAAGCAGCAACCATTCTAAATCCGCTGTCCTGTTCCTAGACACAATTACAATGCATCCACCTACCTAGCAGGAACATGGAATATTTGCAGGCAAACTATAAACTGATAATCAGCACATCACTACCTAAGGGAGGGCTTGAATGATTTGCTAGCTTTTAAATTTTGTTTATGTGCCAAGAGTTTGGTCACCAAAGTCCTTCAAGAACAACGTTCAGCACCATGGCTCTAGCCCTATAGGGTTCCACACAGTTAGAACATCTGCTTCGTTATTTAGATAGCACTTGGACGGAGTTTATTTTTCCAATGTGTAATCAGCACGGTTCCTTTAGGTCAAGTTGACAGCATGCAAAGGCTAGATACTGGATTTGGCTAGATTCATTAAGCATGAACGAGCTCTCTTTTCAAAACAAAATAAAAATAGAAGGATAATTGCACTGCAGTGTTTTAGATGGTCTGTTTTTTTCATGATATGCTGCCTTAGAGCATGTTCATATATTTTGGTTTTGCAGCTTTTAACATCAGAGCATACCTACTGTGGTTAACTAGCTCTTTAGTGGAAATATATGATTAAGAGGGGGAGTACAGTAGGTTTGTAAACAGTCAGGGACTACTATCAACAGCCACAACACATTTGCAAATAAATTCCAAAAAAGCATATTTATTTTTTCAGCTAGACGTATGCTTCCTCACTAGACTAATGTTAAACCACCTGCACACTCTTAAAGAAGGCAGAAGTTACTGTTACTAAGGTAGATAGTGGACTGAAAGGTGGCCCTAATCAAACAGAAACATGGCTCAGCACAATTAATTTTTAACAATTTATTATGATTAAATCCTGTAGTTGTCCAAGGCACAACTTTACTCTCAACATCTGTGGGTGATCAAAGTGACCTGTCTGCTGTTCCCAACTGCAGTTGTGCTAATTATAGCCTGTAAGTACTAATGATAAGTGCAGTTTACTGCTTTAGTGAACTGCATCCCCACCATCCTCACGAGGTATCAGAACACGTACCTGACATTCCACATTGCAGTAAAACGCCTGTTTACATCTTCCACACTTGGACAATCCTTCTTTCCTTAAAAACAAAACAGAAGTTATATCTACCCTCTAATAGTGAATGCAGCAGAGACATTATAGCATTCACTATTGCTCTAAAACACAGACTATATAGCACACATGCCCCATCTGGCAATGATGCACTTATTTTAGAAGAGTACTGCATGACGCACCATGTTTTCATAATCAAATGGCATTTACTTCAGAACACTGTGACTACAGCTTGAACCTCCTCTTCAGAATGAGGAGATTTTTATTTGTTTAGAGTTTCAAATGCAAATTTCCCTAACAGCTGTTACTAAGTGAGGGGGAAAGAGTCCATAAAAGCATCTTTTTTAGAAACATTATTCTATGCTGCCAGACCTCTGCTTTTCTTGGTTTTAAAAATATCTGTTGCCTGATTTATTTGATCACTGATGTTACTTTTTTGCTTCTCTGTTCTTTTAAGTCCACTGCTCCTACATCTAGTCCCAACCTCTACTGTCTAAAAAGGTTTTGTATTTAAATACCTTGCTTAGTATCCTGTTACCATGCATCTTAATCCCATTACCATGTGTCCAGCATCTGCTCTGTGATCAATGTATTATGAAAGTTTTCCTCAACCCTGCCTTTCCTTTTTGTATCTGTAGATACCCTGAGCAGTGTGTGCTGTAAGAAAGTTCTCACTCTGCTGCAAAGTACACTGCATTGCAGATCAGCCCTAAAATAATGTCTGCGATACAGCACACTGCACAGGAATTTCCCCATGCTCTCCATCATACATTCTGTAACACGTTTAGAAAATTCTTCACCTCATTTCAGGGAAGATCACTACATTATGTTTAAGTTTACATGGGATTTTTAAAAAATTTAAAGGGATAAAATAATGCCAAGTGTCCTTACTAGGATATGAATATGTACAACACCTCATAGGTCATGTGTAACTTGAAAAATTAGGGCCCGAAAGCCTTGTATTTCTTGAAACAGTCTTGTTGGCTTTTAAGAATATATATGTGCTTAAAAAGAAAAACTTCTTCATGGTTTGTGTGACCAGACTCTGAAATGGACTCCCAGCAGGCACCTACCCTGGAGATCTTCAAAAGGAGACTAGATGCCCACCTTGCTGGGGTTATTTGACCCCAGCAGTCTTTCCTGCCCAGAGCAGGGGGTGCTGGACCTGATGATCTCATGAGGTCCCTTCCAGCCCTAAACTTCTGTGAATCTATGGGCTGAGCTAATGTGAAGATTCTGTTTAATGGCCAGTAAACAAATCAGGAGTGGTTTTATATTATATAATTATAAAATACGTCAGCCTACTTTCATTCTGTTGACTGCATGACAGAAGTTCCACAAAGTTTCTCTACCCCGAGGTAATATTGACCATGAATCTTTTCTTTTATCCCTTCATGTAAGAAATTTCATTCCAGACTCATCCCCTTATTTCCCTGATGTATGGTCATGGTGAACTATGGGGAGCAGAGACACAGATTGCATCACTGACCTCAGCCAAACTGAATCACACTGCTAGGTTATCTTTGCTATTAGCATGACCCATCCAACCATGCTGAGGCCCCCTCCCACTTCCCTACTAAAGATCTTGAATCATAAGGGAAGTTAGAATAGAAAATGCAAAAGAAAATTGAATAAAATACCATTATAATTGACCCGTAGACCAGCTGTCAATAGAAGAATAATTCTTTGTCATTATGATATTAACTAAGGTTAAAGTAACACCATGGTATATATAACATTGGTACCCCTACATCCATGTTAGAAGACAGACTCTCCAAACCTGAAAAGCTGAATTAGCCAAATACAATTGAACATAACTAAAGATCACACACAAGAGTAAGAACAAAACTGAAGGTCTAAGTAAAATCATGTATTTGAAGGAGAAAAGAAAGTTTACATAGTGTCTGATTTAGAATATATTGCAACCAACAGGAATCTTTCCATTAACTTTGAGGGCAGTCAGATTGGGCCATATGGGAACAGAGGGTAAAATCCAAACATGGCAGGAAGAACTGAAAAAAAAAGTCAAGACAGAGAAGGAGGCAATAGGCAATTCACAAAGAGAAAACCGGGTAGAAATAATAGACAAGAAGATGATAAGACTTACAAAAATGAAATAATCATATCATCCAATCTCAGCCCATTCATCCATAAATCAGTAAAAGCTCTATTCTTCATGGAGATGTGCCATGTTTCTTCAGTATGCCGAGAAAAGTTGGCAACCTATGTTATATTTTTCAGATCAGATTTACTATTTAATCACATTATAATTTAAAATGCCATCAACATGACGACTTTTTATCATCCAAATGCCTGACCACTATAGACACAGTCAATATTAGCCTCCCTGCCACTCAGGCTGGTTTTTCTTTCCCTTTAGGGATATTTTTACGTGTCACAAGTACTTTTCCCCTGGACTTTTGAGCAGATGCAGCCACCCTCAGTCACACTGAGCACATCTATATGTACACTTTACTGTGGAGTTAACTAATTAGCTCTGCAGTTAAGCGTCACTGTCTACATGCATGCTAGTATAAGAGCGCAGAAAGTTAACTCTGCCTAAGATAATATTGTCAGGGACAGTACTATTTTATGGTGGAGTTATTAAGTGTACCACCACACATGTATAGATGGTGACAGGAGCTGGCTGAGGCATGAGGGTGCTAAAGTGTGGGGGCTGCCTGCCACCTATCCCTGCACTGTAGCACCCTGTAGCACTCCTCAACTGTACTGCACTGTACAGCTCTGTAGCACTCCTCAACCAGCCCCTCCACCACCCGACACTGCCACCCAGAACCTGGGGCTGAGCACTTCCGTGTCTGTCCCCTGCCAGTCTAGAGCTGCTCTGCCCCAGCTCAAAGTGCTGCTGTCCCAGGCACACAGGCAGACCCTGTGCCCAGGAGCAGTTTCCTCTGATGCAAACTGTGCCAGAGTTTATTGTCGTGCTAACTGCACATGTATATGTACCTATGGAGGCCCCCACGATTAGCCTGTCAGCCCAAGGATGTTCCCCCTGCAACAACATGCTGCAGAGGGGGCTGGCTGGGCCAAGCAGCCCCCCACACTGAAGCACCATCATGCCCCAGCCAGCTAAGGCAGCATCTACATGCGAGCTGCTGGAGTAAATTAGTTTACTTCAACCTAATGGGGCGCAGGTGTAGACGTGCAGCTTTTACTGCACAGCTAATTATAGATTCATAGATGTTTGGGTCAGAAGGGACCTCAGTAGATCATCAAGTCTGAACCCTGCCCTGGGCAGGGAAGAGCACTGGGGTCAGATGACCCCAGCCAGGTGCATGTCTAGCCTCCTCTTAAAGACCCCCAGGGTAGGGGAGAGCACCATCTCACTTGGAAGCCCATTCCAGATTCTGGCAACCCTTACTATAAAGAAGTTCTTCCCGATGTCCAACTTAAATCTGCTCTCTGTCAGCTTATGGCTGTTGTTCCTAGTTACTCCAAGGGGTGCCCTGGTAAACACAGCATGTCCTACTCCTTGCTGCCCCTCTCCCTGCGATGAATCTGTAGACAACCACAAGATCACCTCTCAGTCTTCTCTTGCGGGCTGAAGAGATCCAGGTCCCTCACTCTTTCATAGGGCTTTGCCTGCAGGCCCCTAACTGTGAGTGGCCCTCCTCTGAACCCTCTCGAGGTTGTCCAGTACCCTCTTGAAATATGGGGCCCAAAACTGGATGCAGTACTCTAACTGCAGCCTGACCAATGCCTCATAGAGGGGAAGTATCACCTCCCTGGACCAGTTCTTCATGCACCTGCTGATGCATGATGACATGCGGTTAGCTTTACTGATTACTTTGTCACACTGATGACTCATGTTCATCTTGGAGTCAACTATGACTCCAAGATCCCTTTCCACTGCTGTGCTGCTGAGGTCCTCCCCCAGCCTGTAAGTGTGCTGGTGATTCCTTCTCCCTTTGCACTTGTCTTTGTTGAACTGCATCCTATTCTGATCTGCCCACTTTTCCAACCTGTCCAGATCTGCCTGGATTCGTTCCCTACCCTCTAGCGTGTTAACTTTACCCCATAATTTGGGATCAGTCTACTTTGCAGTAAACATCTCATGCAGGTGCACCCATTGTAGTATCTTATTCTACAAGTACTATTGTTTTCGCTGGTGCAACCCAAGAGAACAAAGTCTCTAGTCAACTGGGGAAAGGTGATAGAATTTGATCCTAAGAGCTCACGGGCCAAAAGCCAAATCCTTCTCCCACTGAGGGTAATGGGAAAATTCCCCACAGACATTACCATATGCAGGGTCAGACTGGAATAGAAAACGTCTCAAGTTGATGCTATGCGAGTTTAACCATACACCTCTGTCAATGCTGAGGTCAGCTGCTGTAGTCCTGTACAGATCAGACTGCATTGAATCTTACATGATGGCACACATAAATGAGGTTATAAAGTAGTCTCCTGTAATTTTTTTCCAGACAGCAGACAACAGCTGATTTAGGAGCCCAAATGCATAAAGTTTACTGCCTCCTGTTGCACTGGCAACAACCATATCAATCTATGCTAAAGTGATTGGGGTTTGAAGATCAACACCAACAATGTAAAGTTTTCACCTGAAAATGTTATGCCTACTATTAAGGAACACTTAAGGCTACTAATTTCTTCCACGTATAAACATTATTTAAATATCTCCATGTATTTCAACGTATATGCATTGTATACTTGACCTCATTTTGTATACTAATTTCACTATTTCCAGTGTATAACTCCTTTTGGATGGATATTTGATGTAGCAACAAGGGAAAGAAACATTTTAAAATAACCAGGATCTCCTGGTTACATTAAAGACACAATGAAATTCAGGGATTAACTCATGTTGGTGAAAACAATAATTTTTAGCTCAATTCATTTGCAAATTTAACAGGAACTAAGACTGTAAATCACAAGGGAAAACCTAGGAGTAGTAGAAGTTTATATATAGTTCACTGACTGAATTTTGGCATTTAGTACACATTTGCCTGGGCATCAATCAAGCATTGACACTTGTTTTGGATATGCTCCATGGGACTTAATCTAACACTAACATGTGCATAACTTTATTCACACGAGTAGTCCCAACAAATTCTGTGCAACTACTCATACAGGTAAATTTATGTACAACTTGAGCACTTGCAGAATCAGGGCCACAGAGTATAAGAACTTCCAAGAAAGGATAGGGTCTGTTTTTCTCCTGGGACACTTAATAAAATACAGAACTAAAAAGAAAACCAGTTTTAAGTTTAGTAACAGTGCTAAAACTACACAACCAAATAAAGCAAAACAAAGTGGGGAAAAAAACTCCAAAACAGTGTAAAGAGGAAAGATATGTAAAGAAGGTTCACAACTTCAAAGGCATTTGTATTACATCTATTGGATTATTTTATCAATGCTTCTGTTGGGATCGTCATCTCTCTGTGCATTTAAATAAAAACGCAAAAGGAAAAGAAGGAAAACAAAAAAATCAGAACATGAAGATCTCATTTAAATGTAATAAAGACAAACTCATGGGAATGTCACAGGACATTCAGATGAGTGCATATTGGAAAGAAAAGATATAGGGAAACTAAAGGCATTTGGAGGCCCTGATTCTGAATTTTTTTTGTAGTGCTCCATCAGTGACATTTGTATGGATGTACTCCATGGGATTTGATTTGATGCTTATGTGTGTGTAACTTTACCCACATGAGTAGCCCCAATGCATTCAGCACATAGGTAAATACATGTATGACTTAAGCACTTGCAGAACTAGAGCCAGAGAATATAAAAGCTCACTGGAGGAAGAGAGGGCTGTTTTTTTTTCCTGGGACACGTGAAGAAAGAAAACAAAAAACTGAACTAGATGGCCTTGTGAGGTCCCTTCCAGCCCTACCCTAAAATTATGCCTGGAGCAAAACTGAACTATTTGCCAAGTTAGCTAGGCAACTATTTCTATATACACTCATTACCACAGCATATGGGGGCCTTGCTTCTGAATGCATGAGATGACCAGTTTCTGGGTGCCAAAATCCAGAGGACAACACCAGGTGTCTCACAGAGCTAGGACAGACTACAGACCTCTGACATGGGAAGCAGTCTAACCAGAATGGGAAGTCTAACCTGGCCAAACTCAGTAGAAAAGAGGGGGTCAGTGAATTAAGCTGGTCTGAAAGGCACAGCAAATTAGCACGGGCACTGAGGCACGCAAGCACAACTCTCCAGTTTCTGGTACCATTCTCAGCAGAGCTAATTAGCAGCATCTCAGTGGGATGTGGCCAGGCACCATGAAGGGGAAGTGGAGTGGAAGGGGTATCCACATCCTACACAAAACTCATTTCAAGGACTCCTTTAAGACACAGCCCTAAACTGCAGGTTGCTTACATAACAGGGAGCGAGAGATAGTTAAGAGTCTGAAGCTTATGCACCTCTGATGCACTCAAATCTAAAACAGTGGTTTCTCAGCCTTTTCAGATTTGAGACCCCTTCATCAGGCTAGAGGCAACTCTTGCAAAATGCCAGCTCTTCGTTTACCCTTGTTTTTTTACTACAGTGGAAAACAAACAAACAAACAAACAAACCCCAGAGCAGTGGTGCTCAAACTTTTTCCCCAGTGGGCCAGATGGGTGCTCTCCAGTCTGTCTGCAGGCCAGATCCAGTGCCTGGGACTAGCCAAGTGAGCACCATCCAGCCACACAGAGAGGGTGGGAGACAGGCCAGCCCCAACATGGCCCCACTGGGGAAAGGCACCTAACTCAGCTCCATGGAGGGGACAGAGATGTGGTTTGGCCTCAACTGGCTGCATGGGAGCTTGGGGTTTAAGAATTTGGCAGGAAGGAGGGCGGTGCATTAATGGCTGCTGCTCCACCGCTGCCAAATTTCTGGGCCCTGGGTAGCCCTGTGGGCCAGACATGACATATCCATGGGCAGCACCAGGCCACAGGCTGAACATCGCTGCACCAGAACAACCTTTGCAGTACAACACACTCAAAATCCCTGCGACAGGTCAGGATGCTTCTGACACCATAGATTCCAATCCAAAATCTTGGTGGGGAGAGGGGGAAAAAAAAAAAAAAAAAAAAAATCAACCTCCTTACTCAAGTCCATGCATCTCATGGTGTAAGCCATATGTGGGCTCCTCCCTCCCCCTTGGGAGGATCCAGAGGCATGGCAGGACTGAGAAGCACAGAAGCAGGCTCTCCTAGTTTGGTAACAAATGTAGCTGCTAGGCAGAGCAATCCTCGGGGAAAAAAAGTCAGCGTTTAAGCCAAGACTGCAGGCTCCCTTCCACATTACTGAGCTGCACAAACATTAATGGCTTAGCGCTAGCTTGCAGTCACACCTGCAACTTGGGCAGCACATCTGTGTGAGGGGATGGAACAGCAGCTGGGGACCTGAGAGCCAACTTGTGGGTCAATCCCCTGCTGGACTAGATGATCTCTTGAGGTCCCTTCCAGCCCTGCTTCTCTCTATGAACCACTTCTCTAGGAGCTCCTCATGCACCACTGAGAACCGCAGGTCTGTGGGGCACTTCCCTCCCTTCTGTCATGGAGCAGTGGGGCTGCAAGGGACCTCCAAAGGTCCCCAACCTTTTCTGTACCAGGACCTGTATGTAAATATCAATGGCCAGTCCCAACCCAGTGCCCCTCACTCCCACCACAGCCCCTGAGTGTGAGGGTGGGGGGCAGGGGTGGATGTGTGTGGAAGGTGGGAAGTGTGGGGCAGGGGGTGTATATACGGCAGGAGGGTGTGGGAGGACATGGGGGGTGCAAAGGGACATCCGTGGTTTCCCACGTTTTCCTCCTTTAAAGGAGAATCCATTTTCCAACGCCGTTTGCCGCCCTGCCCGGCCCTGTGCTCCTGCGACCCACTTGCGGGTCTGGCCCACCCGCTGC